AGATGGATCGATAGATAGATAGATAGATGGATAGATGGATACGGATAGATGGATAGATGGATAGATGTATAGATGGATAGATGGATGGATAGATGGATAGATGGTTAGATGGATAGATGGATAGATGGATAGATGGATAGGTGGATAGATGGATAGATAGATAGATTCATAGATAGATAGATAGATAGATAGATAGGATAGATAGGATAGATAGGATAGATAGGATAGATAGGATAGATAGGATAGATAGGATAGATAGGATAGATAGGATAGATAGGATAGATAGGATAGATAGGATAGATAGGATAGATAGGATAGATAGGATAGATAGGATAGATAGGATAGATAGGATAGATAGGATAGATAGATAGGATAGATAGGATAGAACGGATAGAACGGATAGAACGGATAGATAGGATAGATAGGATAGATAGGATAGATAGGATAGATAGGATAGATAGGATAGATAGGATAGATAGGATAGATAGGATAGATAGGATAGATAGATAGATGGGTAGATGGATCGATAGATAGACAGATAGACAGACAGATAGACAGACAGATAGACAGATAGACAGATAGACAGATAGACAGATAGACAGACAAACAGACAGATAGATAGATCGATAGAAATATGGATAGATAGATAGATAGATAGATAGATAGATAGAGAAGATAGAGAAGATAGATAAGATATATAGATACGGTAGATACGATAGATAAGACAGATAAGATAGATAAGATAGAAAAGATAGATAAGATAGATAAGGTAGATAAGATAGAGAAGATAGATAAGATAAGAAAGAATGATAGATAGATAGACAGATCGATAGATAGACAGATAGGTAGATAGATAGATAGATAGAAAGATAGATACATAGTAAGAGAGATAGATGGATAGATAGACAGCTAGATAGATAGATCGACAGATAGAAAGACAGACAGTTAGGTAGATAGATAGATAGGTAGATAGATAGACAGCTAGATAGATAGATAGATAGGTAGATAGATAGATAGATAGCTAGATAGCTAGATAGATAGCTAGATAGCTAGATAGCTAGATAGCTAGATAGCTAGATAGCTAGATAGCTAGATAGCTGGATAGCTAGATAGCTAGATAGCTAGATAGCTAGATAGCTAGATAGCTAGATAGCTAGATAGCTAGATGGATAGATAGATGGATAGATAGATAGATAGATAGATAGATACATAGATAGGTAGGTAGGTAGGTAGGTAGATAGTCAGAGAAAGAGAAAAAGAGAGAGAGAGAGAGAGAGAGACAGAAAGAGAGGAGACCTCAATCACCTGTCGGTCCATCAGTGGCTTCGCTCTGGCATCCGTGACTCACAAAACCAACCTCTCCTATAGGTTTCCTATTTTTGAAACTTCCGCCAACGCCTTGTGCGGCACTACTGGTATTATATAGATAAACAGTATAGATGTAAATGTTAGCCACTTTAGCCACTTTAGCATCTACTGAGCTGATGGAGGAATGCATTCTGAATGCATTCTTCTCCCAAACCAAGAAACCAAGAACCAAGATTCCACCAGGACTCTTCAAGTGAATCTTGGTTTTTGGTTCTTGGTGCAACCCCTCAATCTTGAATCTTGATTCCAAAAAGTTTTGCAAACTTTGCAAAATTTTCTGGATCCAGGATTTTAAATACATTTTTTTCTATATCAAATCATGTTAACATTCACTGATATTAGCATATTAAACGTGTATATGTATATATATATATACACAGTACATAATGTATATATATATATAGTTGATTTCCCTTTACTTATTAATGCCAAATTGTCATTAAAACACGGTAATTCACTGTAAATACCAGTGAAATATGATCTTCGTTTTTTTTTTTGTCATGTATTTACCAAATGCATCCCTTACAAACCATTACTTAAGAAGATGCTTGTATGATAACACGCGCAATATTCTTTGGGGATGTGGGACGTGCAATGTTCTTCTCTTGCTCAGTAAAACATTTCCTTCAATTCAATGGTGTTCCTTTGCAAATAAATTGTAATTGGGTTTCTTTAAAATGACTATCACATTCTTTTCGGAGAATTGGTGCTACTTTCAAACATAAAGGGCAACAGAGACATTTGTTTTTTTTTGCTGAGTTTCCTTCAAATGAATTGGATACATTTCAAAGGAAAAAACGTTTCAAATAAATGGTGTTACTTTCCACGGTACAGCTGGATTTTTTGGAAGGAGTGTGACATTATTATCCTTTAAAGACATGGTGTTATCTTCAAATATAAATAAGAGCTGAACTTTGTTTTTTTTTTTTAGTAGACATATTTCATATTCTGCAACAATATTGTTTCTGTTGTTAAAACAAATTGCAGCAGCTTTGAGTGAAGTATTTTTCTTTAAAGGAACATGCATCTGTTTGAGGAAATATATCCATCATGAAAAAGGGAGACAAAAATAATGTTTTTCAAAAAAAAACAACCTTCAAAGGGAGATTTCCCTAAAAAGTTCTGCGCTAGTTCAAAGCAACCATTAGCTTATTAGTGCAAACGTATTTTTTTTGTTTAAGGGATGCTGCATATTTGTGAAGAAAACTGCACTTCTTTGAAGAATCTCATCTCTTCAGAGCATTACTTGCTAGAAGTGTAGCACAGGTGCAAGTCTTAATAGATGGGATAGATTACATATTCCTCTTTGGGCAATTGCTGTGCTGTGCAACACAAGTCTTGTTCATTTAACATTAAACGTTCTTCCACGGTCAATTAGAATATGATTTCAACTGTGACAGATTGCATCATGGCAGGGCATTTGTGTGATACCACCTGGCTACAAACAAGGTATTAGCATCCAATCTATTGAACATATCCACAACCTTTTGAAAACACTACGGAGCTTGTTTACTTTTCTAGTTGAAATAGGCCTTGTAGATGAATTAAGGTTGTGCTTTCAGAGATGATGCATTTCTGTAAGTTTAGGTGGGTGCCGGGGGTAGCCTCTATATATACAATATATATATATGAGCCTAGTGTGTATATAGTGTGTATATATGGTCCAAAAATCCTGATTTTACAGGTTCAATTTCCAAGCCGGGATGACTCCTGGATGACATCGGATGACAAGCCGCAGGAGATGATTTTCTCAGTGTTGACGGATGCCTGGGTGGTGTATCTTGAAGCTTGCACGGATTGGACCACTGGGGGGCGATGGGGAAAAAAACCATCGATTTCAGCAACAATCAGTAGCAATATGCTAGGATTTTGGCGGAAGAGCTTGAAGCAGAATCCGAGATACTGGCCATAGAGGAAAACCAGCAATGATATATATATATATATATATGTATAAATACATATTTATATACACATATGTATAAATACATATGTATATATATATATGTATAAATATAACCAGTAGCTCAGTACCACTATGTAGAAACACAGTGCAAGACAAGCACCATCAATCAATTAATCAAACGTCTTGGAATGGTTTCATATTCGATTGGCTGCTTCATGGTGCAACATTTGTTGCCTATATGATGTTCATTCTGGTCTACACGACACATCCTAGATTAAAGTTGACATGTCGTCTTAGAGATGATCAGATGTCATATCATAAGTTTGTCGATTGAACATTTAGATACCTCTCCTGTTGAGATGTGTACGCGCTTCGTGGAGCTGTGGATGCCAGCATGGCGCCAGCATTGCAACATAGTGAGGCACTTATAATCGGCATTGACAGATATGACGACCCTGTTTTCAGTGACTTGAATCAGTGTGTACATGATGCTGATCTCGTGGAATCCTGCTTGCTGGAGGAACAGTTCTGTTCACAAGAAGCGTTAGTTTCTCTCCGAGATCCTCCTAGGGATGATATGTTTGACGCTCTCGACAGCGTTGCAAAACGGACGCATGCCTGCCTCTCCTGCCTGCTCCTACTGTATTATGCCGGCCACAGCTATGAAGATGACGGTATGATTTTTATGTGCCCGTCAAATTCCAAGAGGCGAGAAGACGACATATCATTGGAATCATTCATTCAGCGACTCTCAGATCAAACTACGCTGGTGTGCATTTTCGCCAGTTGCCTAACCAAGTTGGACCTTTTGACGAAGGAGCCGGCGTTCCGACCATCGGTCGCTTTCCCCAGGCAATGGCACACGCGCGCGACCGCTAGGCTGCGTGACGTGCTAGGCCGAAGCGTACGTTGTCGCATGTTTATGTTCTTTGGCTGCCATCCCGGTAAGGAGCTTCCAGATGATGGTTTTTTCACTGCAACCTTGACCAAATACATGAGGCAGCGCGCCCTGGATGTCCATGACATGGCCAGGGCGGTGACCCAGGAAGTGTGCCAGGCAACACAGCATTGCCAGTGGCCTTTGAGCATTTCCAACCTTGACCAATCTTTGTGCCTCTTGCCAGCAGAGCTGTGCGCCAGAAGGTGGATGCGCGTGGTTTGATGGACAACCTTGACGTGCAAAGGTACGTGGGGGCCGTACGGATGGTAACCCGGGACGGTGACCCTGATACAGTTGATTTCAAGTGGGCTTGCAAATGGCTCTGTGGCCTGCCAAGAGCTGCAAGACATCACCGACAAGCGCAGCCCCTATGCGTTTTGCAGATATGCAACGAATCGAGGATTGCGATACAAACCATTTCAGATGACGACAGACGATCGGTAGCAGTACCTGCCCTTCTGTTGCTGTCATATTTGGATGAGTTGGAAGCACGCCTGATGATCGTCAGAGGAGAGTGCGAGCGGTCTCTGCCTTCATCTGCTTTGCGAGTTGCAAGGTTGGAGTATGGCAGGTGTTTAGCTGCAATTGCATCCTTCTTGGACACGTTTGAATTTGATGATAATTTGATGATTTTGTAGCTGCCAAAGCCTTTCTTCTGCTTCAACTATATCATCAACATGTGATCGATGAGGAGCCTACCTTGTCACACTATTCCCAGGCCAAGTTCATGGCCAGTCAAGCAGCACCGTTGTACAAAGCAGTTGGTCTTCCGGAGGGTGCGGCGGGCACATGGACTGCAGTTGGGGTGCGGTGCAGATGAAACTTCTTGACCGGAGGGCCATGAAGTCTCTTGCTGACCGGCTTGAGACGCTGATGCTTTCTTTGGAAGATGGGAACTTGCCAGACACCTCTGTGGTGCAATTCTACGAACTTGTTGGTTCAACGCAGCTTGCATGTTTGTACAAAGGCCTCCAAAGCCAAACGAAGGTGAGTCAGTGTCTGCCAAAGCTCAAGCAAGCACTTGCTCATCCAAAGCAGTGGCTTAGTCGCGCCTGCAAGGCTCGCAACCTCTTGTGTGCGTGGGACATTGCGATCGATGATCCGTGAAAGGCTTGCATTTCAATCTTTAGACTCTAGACATTGATGCAATTCTTATCGAACGTTTCTTTGTGACTGCCCTTCTTCAATGCACTTGAAAGCTTGCTGTCCTGATTCCACTCGCTTGGACAACGACATTGCGCCACCTACTGTCAAATCATACCACAATCATCAAGAAAACAACCATAACCAACAATCTAATAAACAACAAATACAGGACAACTAAGCAAGATATAACCAGCAGTAAAAACCCATTCCTGGGACTGTCATCCACCAGCAGCATCCCGAAACGTCCCAGGAAGATCCGCGTTTGGCTCCGCACCTGGCGTTGATGTGTTCATCCTTCTGCTACTTGGGATGGTAAGCTGCGGAAATGGCTTGGGGATGCTTGGGAACTCCCGGTGTTTTTGGCCATCTCATAGAGGATTTTTGTGTGTATTTTCTTTTGGGATTGGATTCTTAATCTGAAGTCTTCGAGGATGGATCCAAAGCAGTTTCACTTTCTATGCCTTTTTGAAGGATCCAATTTTTGGATCCATTCTTTAGTTGGAGGGATTGTATCCTGAAATGGTGGAAATGGATGAATGGGTATTGAAAAAAGCTGTTTGGCGGTGTCAAAAGAATCCTTTGGCAGATTGTTGGACGAGGAAGGGTTGTTTTGGTGGGTGAGACGGCTGCGCAGTCGAATGTAATCATGCGAGAATAGAGTGACATGAATGTCTCTGCAATTAATTGCATTTCTTTTCCTTGGACCTCTTCACTCTCGTTAAAACTCTTACGTTACTATACCGTTGCTTGCAAACTGCTGAACCCTACAGAATTGCCAAGAAGTTGCGGTCAGGGCAACCTCTGAAACTCGTTTTTTTTCCCTCCACTTGAAGGGTATGTGGGATCCATCCTCCATGGTACCGGCAGCTGAGGTTACCATGCAGATTCTCACCAAGAATTTGTGCTGCAAGGGGGCGTTCGCCTGGTGATCCAGATGTACAGCAAGTCCAAGGTAGCTGGGGGATAGGAAATCATGGGAAATCATGGAAAACTGGAGCCCCAACCCCAAGCCCCCCGCGGCGCAGCCAAGTTGTGGTCTTGTGGTCGCATGTCAGATCCCCATTTTACCCCACCAGGTTTCTCGCTTCTGTTCCCCCGTTTCTATAGCTACATCCCCCCAAAATGGGTCGATCTACGGCCAGGTGGAGCATGTGAGGCTCTGCTGCCTGCTGTGCCTGCTATACCTGGCTGAGTCGGGGTCATCGCAACGGGCCATCGCACAGGAGAAGGCGGAAAGCCCTGGAAACCTCTGGATTTGGGGCCATTTGGGGAGGTGGAAGAGTGATTCTTGGGAGATCTGCAAAATTCTGCTCTCCGATTTCCACATCTGGAAGGTGATCTTTGCCCGGAAAGCACTTGTGTCGCCCAATCCCCAGATTCTGAACATCTGTCAGGGTGTGAAGATGTTGTTGACGGCCTGCGAAAACGAGACCCACATCGATCTCATCGTGAATGCTCTGAAGGCCAGTTATTTTATTTTTTTTCTGGAGGGTCAAGCTCATCACTGAACTAAGTGGGCAGACCATTGAGGCTGGTGATTTCTACTTTGATCCACATATGTTAACCAGGTAATCTTCTCTGGTAAGCCTGGGAAGCATCCAACTTTATCCTCAAGGGACCTGTGACCCCAGGTTTGTCTCACAGGGATGTTGCCTTTTGGATGCTGTTGGTCACCAAATGCTGACTGTCTTGGAAGATTCGGTTCGAACGGGGCATCCCAGGCCCCAAGGGTCCCCCAGGACAGGTCCCTTGGGTCCCTTTCGGGACCTCTAAGGCCTTGATCCCATTCGCTTGCTCCGACGAATTCCGGCCACAGCTGGGGATGGACGGTGCTTTAGGCGGCGGAACTGATTTCCGTATGGAACTTGCTATGGAAGGCTGCATTAACATCAGTATGATAGATATCAGTGATATCAGCATCAATTTTGGATTCAGGAATCCTAGGACAGAGTCACCTCAGGTTTCTGACCTTGTTGGCTTTTGTTTCTGTTAGCCAAATCCCAGCGGCAGATACCTTCTCCGCCTTCATGTTCTCGGATCAATTGCAACTGCAGCAGCTGGGGATCTATTTGCTGCAAAACTTACTGGAAACCTGGTAGCGTTAGACTGGGACCGGCCTGCATTGGTTTCGACTCAGGATGCGGAATTAGCATCCAAGAGGGACTTGATATGAGACTGCCTTGCTTTCATAGTAGATATAGTAGATTCTTGAAAGTGCCTGTTTGGCTGCTGCAAACTCATGGATTGCTCAGGAATTCCGAGAAAATCGCCGGATCTTTTTGGGTTTCTCAGATGAGAAGAAGTGCGAAGAGGAGCCGCGGCTGATCCCCTGGTTGATGGTTGTTTGGGAACCATTCATTTGGGGATATTTTCTGAATGATATATGGATGATTCAGACATTCATTTGGGGCCAGAGGTGGTGGTTTGACATGGGGGCATAGCTTTGTAGACGGATGCAGGGCTTTCGATTGAGTTACTTTGGTTCCACACTTGCACCGTCGACATGATCGTTTTATACCAATCGTCCGTCCCTTCGATTGCAAGCCATAACTTCCTGTGGAATGTGCTGTTAAACCGTTACTGATGTTGTTACTGTTATCCGTGGTCTTGTGAGCAAAATCTTGATGCAGATGAATGAGGACTATCTTGAGAGCTTGCTGCGCCTATTACCACGTGTGTCGACTGGACAGCCGCAGCGAATCAAATCTATGAAGAAGACCAAAGAGAAAAAGGAGCCAGAAGTTGTTCTCAGCGATCACGATCCCTTTGTTTGCAGGCGTGGCATGGAATGTAGCTTCAAACATCCAAATGGCAACATTGGATTAAATACTGAAGAAAAGGGGATGAAACAACCTTTTTCCCAATCTGGAAGCTCAGTTCTGGTTCTGCCCTGGCTACATATATAGTTTCGAATCTTTGGCCACATCAGAAAGCACATCAAGTTGGCTATAATATGAATAATACCGTTATATCCCCCACAATATCCCCAGAATTTGTATAAACATGTTCTATGCCACATGATATCCCCACATTTTTCAGAGTTTTGGGCACCAGGTGCTGCATCCACTGCATCGCTTTGTTAAGCCTGGAGCACAACTTGACGAGTTTCCAGCGCCTGGTTGATCTCACCTTACCGCAGCCTGGATTTCATATTACCATGGGTCATTCCGCTGCTAAAAATGGCTCAAATCCACCAAACATGAATAAACCATGGGTGCATCCACGAATCAACCAGGAGGAATCGATGTCGGGATGTCGGGATGTCGGGATGTCGGGATGTCGGGATGTTTGTTTCTGACTATATAAACATGAATAAACCGCGGGTACATCCACAAACCATCAGGAATGGGGAATTCATAGGGATGATGTTTTTTTTTTTCCCCCTGCATTTTTGCAAAGCCGGTCGCCGTTGTTCAGGAAACTTCTCTTCGACTTGTTTCACAGCGAGCAGATCGACAAGTCCAGTGGCGAGGCGGTGGTGCTGTTCTTCGCCAACATTTTGCATAGCTCGAAGCAGATCCAGGCGCAGATTATGAAGGGCGCGGACATCGTAACTCGGTTCTGAAACAATCGGATGAACCAACATGCTAAGGGATTTTTTTGGGATGATTGAAGCACATTAAATGAGGGATGGAGTGAGGATGAAGTGACTTTGGATGATATCGAAGTATACTATAAGTTATCCAATTGGATGAACTATTCATAATTGATTATGGTAATTATCCAATTTAGCGGATTGGGATGATTCAAAACATATTTAAGCACGATGAACTATTAGGCAGATTGGAATACTTGAAACTATTGGATGTTACTTGAAATATGAATGCAGGGGCTGGAGAATGGAGACCTTATGGATGGATGACTACGTTTAAAACATGGATGACCAGCAGATTTTTGGAACATGGAGACCTTATAGATGGATGACCTTATGCCTACAGTTTTTTTTTTAAGCGGCTCTTCCTGTGGCCTCCATTTGAGGTGCAACTGCTTCTTTCTGGCCGCGACATGCTGTTTTCACCTCACACGGTGTCAAGGCTGGACGGCTTTTTTGGACCTACCCATGGAGCCCAGCTCCCCTGCAGAATGGTGGAACGGTTCTTCTGGGGTTGCGCGGGTCCGAAGTTGAAGATATTTCTCTTCTAAAGGTCATGTCTACGATTTGCACACTTCACAAAGAAGTACAAAAACCACTCAGACATCCCCAAGCAACCATGTTGCCGGTGTTCAGTGAATAAACATCCAAAAAATCCAGTGGAAAAAGGTTGCTGTTAATGGATTTTCCCAAAATCATCAGTGGTTTCACAATCTTCCAGATGTGTGCACGGCTCCAGCACTTGGAAGGTGTCTCTCTGCGTTGCTTTGCGTTGCTCGCATTCCGGACTTCAAACGTGTCGTCACCGAGCCGCAGGATTTTTCCAGGGATCCCAGGGACGGGGGCGCACGGAAAAAAAATGTGATGAAACACATTTGGCATGTCATCCTGCATTATCTCTGATGATTTTGTAAGAGATCCTTGGAGGATTTGAATAGATCTATCGACTGGTGGCCAACCCCAGGTGCTAAGTCATCTGGATTTGCTGATGGCTGACATCAATGCGAACCTGAACATGGAGGTGGGGCGACCAGGTCGCGAAGATTTCCACTTCATTTTAGGGATCTGCTAGTTTTGCCTTTTAACTTCACTGCTTCGGGAAGCAATTTGGGATGGTTCCTGGGCCAAGGTGGCTTGAAGCACGGCTATTCCCCTTGGCCAGTTCTGGCAGCAGAAATCCCATGCAGTCTTATAGAAAGATGAACTATGACTTCTCGCACCGTTGTTTTTTGGGGGTAAGATTAAAAGCCACTGACATTCCAACTATGCTTCCTGTCTATTAGACGCCTGCAGTGAGATCTGCGTCGCCAGGAGCGAGATGAACATTTCTATCAGATCGCGGCCTTGCAGCGCCTTGGACCCCGATTTGGACGCCTGGTTTTTTGGATCCGAGCCGCCACATCGGAGTTCCGAGGTGTGCGTTGCTGTCAGAACTGGTGCGTGCCTCCTATGAATATCACGAAGCTTGGCTGGAAGTCCAAGAAGTCCAGGAAGTCCAAGTCTGGATGTTCCGAACATTGGACATGCCCGGTGATTTTGAAACGCAGCATCAAGCAACAGGGGTTGAATAACATACTATAGGTAGTATAATATAGTATAATCATAGTATAATTATAACTCTCACTATAGTATAATTACGGCCAAACACCTCGTCTTGCCCGCGCCTGTTGGCCCGCCTTCTTTGTATGAGCTGTAAACGTGGTAAAACGTGTTGAATCATCATCAACATCATCATCATCAACATCAACATCAACATCATCATCATCATCATCATCATCATCAATGAAGATCTTCAACGAATATAGAAGTTTAACGGGGCTGGGAGAATTGAACCCTTATTGAAGATCTTCAATGAATGTAGAAATGAATGTCACATTTCACGGGGGTGGGACTTTTATATTCCCTAATACCTTTGTTGATCTTCCCAAGACAGGAAGGGTGTGGGCGAAACGGGGTTCTTTTTCACGGCCAGGAGCAGATGGCCAAGTCGGGAATCGTTCCTTGCCTTGGCGTCCTGGAACCTTGAAAAACTTGAAACAGGTGGCAAAAAATGGCCAATATCCAATATTGTATGCCTATAATGATTGGATATTGGCCATACTGGATATAACATGCCTATATGTTTTTCATATGATTTTTGTAATTGGATAAACTATAATGGCCTACAATGATTGGAATTATACAAGCATATTTTTCATGTGATACCATTACAACAGATGAAATTGGATTGTATATTCACAAAACAAATGAAAAATGGCAGCAATCAATCCAGTTTCAGAGGGAATGAAGTCCATGGATGTGTCATACCCATCCCCCAATGGTTTTGAAAAGAGATTCTCACTCTGAACCGCTCTGAAGATGAAGATGCCAAACAAGTCCGAATCTTCATCATCTGTGCACAGTTGTTTTTTTGCCCATCATTAAAACTTCGCAGTTTTGGATGGTTTTGGGGTCGATACCGGACATGTACCCAGGTTGAAGCGCTCTTGGTCTTCATTACCATGGCTGGAAAGGTGGCTGGGACTCCAACTGGTGGGGTGCACCTCAAAGCACCTCAAAGGTGACTGGAGGAATGCCAAAACATGTTTTGGCATATGCGCTCCAGTGTAATTTTTTGTTTGATGTTAATGTTAAGTATTTGCATCTCTTGGATTTTCGCTCATTCGGTGTTCATGCAGGTGAGCCAAGGTGCCCCAGGTTCTTATTCGGAAGATGGGGCCTTTTCTTTATCAATCTCAGTTGTGCAGCTCAGCTGGTTGATGGAAACCATCTTGTTGCAGGGTCATCCTGGGCCTTAGATTTCTAGCCATGGCTCTCGAGGATTTGAACGACAAAGTCTGTGTGGAGCTGTTGATGGGTGCCGTCTTTGGCATTGCAGCTTTGGTCGGTTCACCCACTGGTGGAGAGCATAGCAACTCGGCGGGCGCGGCTGGCCCTTCTGGCCTTGAAGTACTCCACTGACAACAGGCATGGCAAGTGGAATTCCCAAAATTTAAAGGGAATAAATCATCCACTCTGACTGGATCTGCGATGAGATGCCCTGGTTTCTTAGACCTTGGGATTGAAAGCATCAGACGTGGCCCTTTTCAAGAAGATGAAGAACATATCACATTCTGTATGCAACTCATGTAGTTCAGACATGCGCATCATTGTACAAGCTGGCCGCGGCTCAAATGCCGGGCCCAGTACTACTGATAGTTTTTTTTCAAAACTCCCATTGTTATTACTCCAGTTTCTAAGCTACCTGCTGACCTAGTGTCAGCTATGGTGCTGGCTCAAAATTCCAAAGTTCCATGCTTTATCCTCATTTTCTCCATCCAAAGTTCCATGGTGATCTTGGTGCTTCGCCCATTTTGGATGGTTACATGCTATCAAACATGGTATCAGGTATGGCGAGCCTCATTTATCCAGCCACCAGATTGCAGCTGCTGATGTCCCTACTTCGTTTGCCGCAAGCAGATGTGACACTTGGGCACGAGAGATGGATCATTTCCTGGGAGGAACCATGGCCACCATCTCTACTCAACCCCCGAGGCATTGGGAGATGGGGCCCCACTTCGAAATGGGAATTGACCTACAGATGCCTCGAGCGAACATGGCCATACAAAATGCCCATGTTCCAATGTGCTCAGTAGGAATATCCTTCAAAAATGATGAATTTTCCCTGTAGATCATCTATATAAAGATTATAAAGTCGTAAAACAATGGAATTTGCCAAGTATATGGTGAGTAGCCTCTGGCTATTCAACTTAGCCATGGGAAATGGCCCATTTAAAGATTGGAAACATGATGATTTACCCATTAAACATGCTGATTTTCCAGTTCGCTACGTTAAATCACCAGTAAGACTATGAAATCACTATGAAATCACTAAAAATCACTATAAATCATTATCAATCACTATAAATCACTATTAATCACCATTATTAAGCCTTGTTTTAGGTTAGGTACTCCCTCCGGGTGTCCCGGGTGTCTGACTGCCGGCGTTTTTTCTGAGGAACGAGGCGTTCCATTCTGGCACCGTGGGGCTGCGCACCCTGCAGCGGGTGATCTATCCGAACATCACCACTGAGGTGCGAATCTTGCGAATCTTGAGGGGTGTCTATCATTATCTATCTCCAAATGGCATAAATAGAGCATATTCCATATATATATATTATTATATGTATATCTATATTTGTATATATCTATATCTGTGTATCATGTATGCACATGATAAATCACTACCTCAGTGCCACCTTCGCACTCCAGGTTTGTTTCATGGATCCGCTAGGAGCTCCATGTGGATTCCATGGATTTCCTGAGCTTTTTGGGAAACTGCGCCATCAAACCTGCGAACTTCATCTATCGGTGCCTTGGTGCTTTCGACAGAACGGCTTGATGTTCACCGGAAAAACAAAACCCAACCATTTCACGATGTGATAAACCTTAAACCCTCAACCTCTGATGGTTTCGATTGGGCTTAGCAAATTCATGAAGATTCAGTCTTCTTTGGACTGACGATTATTTTCAGATCAAGCAGATTTGATCCAGTTCCCGAGAGTATGGACCATGCCTCAAAAGAAACCAGAGAAACTATGGTTTCCAAGATAACATCAAACCATTCCATAGAATTGGTGTTTCTATTCTTGTTGGTTCAATCTCCAGTGTTTTTGAGGTGGTCAAATGTCCTATTTGTTGGTTGAATCCCCTTGCTGAACTGCCGATTTTGCCCAGGAATGTGATCCGAACGGTGTGCCTCTTGTTGTCGCATCACGAGATGGGACCCAGGCCTGTTGAACCGTGGAACCCCAATCTGTAGCTCTGATCCGAGATGACATGATATGACTGTTGACCCACAGAAGACTCCAGCAACTGGGCTTCATTTTTTGGCAGATTTTAAGAGCTTCAAATTCCACATATTACATATTCAATAAATTTACATGTGTCTTGCATTTTCCCTGGCGGTCCCTATTGGTATCCATTTGTTTCCACCTTCGCCCCAGCCTTTGCACATTCCTCCTGCGCAGGGTTCAGCAAGCCTTGGAGGCCAGTAATGTGGTTCCAACGTGTTTGTTTGCCATGAAGGACCGCTGTGGGCAGTGGATGGCTGTGGGGTGACCTAGGTGACCTGTGCTGATGTGGGCAGGACTGCGAAGACACCTACGTCCAGGTTTATGGCTTCTTGCTGGTGGCCAATTTCAGCCGAGACAAGTCCCTGCTGTACAACTTTCTGAACGAGTCCCAAGTCATCAATGTGCCTTGTTGCGATTTTCGATCGGTCTATCGAGGGTTTTGATGAGGTCATCATGGAGGCTTGAAAGTCGGGGTTACACATTGTAGCTGCACTGTATCAGAAAGGAGCTGATGTTGGAACCGGGCGTGGATCACGGAACCCGATGGACTTTTATTTTTTCCGAGTGAACAGTCTATCTACGTTGATGCAGCCTAAGTGGTCTCCATCGAAACACTTTGGATTTGTTCATTTGGGGTCCATTGGGGGTATCTAATCCTATTGGGGGAAATTATGATCCAATAAATCCCCTGTAGGGAATGTAGAATATTTTCCAAGAACATTATTGGATGTTGACATTATGATATGAATATTTGGGATAATCTATATGGGGATATTACAAAACCCAGCTGATGACCCCTAGATATCTCACCGGCTGAGCTGAGCTAGGAACTCCTGACCACCATCCGCCGTTCTGCAGCACATGCAAACGCGGCAGAGGCAGCTGAAAAGCTGAACAGTCCGGCCTGGGAGGAACATGAGAATTACCGGTGACCAAGGGATGTTTTTCTATGTTACTGTGCTTTTGAGATGAATACACACACATATATATATTATAATATGTATAATAAATATTATATATTATTATATATAATATGTATATAATATGTATATAATATGTATATAATATGTATATATACACATGTGTTTTTCACATCTTTCAAAAGGAGCCAGTTCTTGATGCAAAAAAAATCCGTGGCCAGGTGGTGCCACCGGTGCGCGACACCTTGTCCAGTGTCACGGGGCCGTGGAGCAGCTCAGCCGTGGCGCGGAATCGTGGCTTGGCGAACAAAAAAATGATGCCAGAGGTGATGAGAACAGCTGAGAAAATCATAGTTAGTTTTCATAGGTGTCAATAGTAAGTAATATTAAGTAACTTCCAAAAAGATAGAAAAGTCAGGTATCACTATTTGAGTAGGATTCTACTTTTCTGTCCTTTTTGGGAGCTACTATAGTTCAAGATCATAGTTCACATATTGATAGCTGCCATCGACCCAAGACTTGGCCCAAAGCTTGCCATCGTTGATGATGATGGT